AAAATTATTTTAAAATTTATACTGTTATTGATATTATTATCATAAAAACTAAAATAAATAATATTATCATCATTATGTAATATTTATGATTTTCATTGCTTGTAATAATTTTATATATATATATATATAAATGTGTACTGTAAATAAAATATCAAATCTGAAAACATTCAAAATAGCATTTAGTTTGTACTATTTCATAAAAATTTATATTGAACTTTTTACATTACTTTAAAACACAAAAGCTTAGTATCATAGAAATAAAAGCTTTGAAGGCTAAAGTCAGTTCTGAAGTAAGGTTGGAAACTCCTGTTATAAATGACGGAGTTTATATTCTTTTTTGCTTATTGACCTTTTCTCTCCAAAATTATATTTAATTCACTGACCTTTTCTCTATTGACACAGAATAAGAATAAATTACAAATAGGATAGAATTAAAAAAAATAAATAGAATTATATTTTTTTCATTAAACATAAATCAAAATTCAAAATTGTCTATTTACTTAATTGATATAATTCTAAATTTTAGTAATTATATATTATCTTTGTATTTAAAAACAATAAATTTGTTCTCCGACCCAAATGACTCCTAGTAATTTACTAAACACCCAAAATAAATTGATTGACTCAGCAGGAGTCACTAGCAACCAAGTTGGAAACAACTGATTAGCTGATTCCCATCTACAAATGAAAATAGCTTTAACTCTGCGTAATGTTTATTACTAATATTATTCTTATCTGGTATAGTTAAATATAAAAAGAGAAAATAGCATACATGATATTTATAGCACATAATGAAAACACACTTATCATCACCTTGGATCAATAATTTACAAGGACCTATTGAATTATCTCTCTGAATTGGAATGATGTTTTTATGTACTGTACATGATATATTCAATATATGCAAAATCCAATGATAAAAATTATTNTAAAGAGATTTTAAATATTTTTATTTTAATGATTACAAATTTAAAATTTCTTATATATTTTTGAATTTTGAATCTAAATAATATGAGTTGTATGCAGTTTTTACCGTTAAGAATGATACTTAACGTCATACTTTTTCTTATGGCGCATAAGGTTTTTGTACGTACTATCGAATAAATTAAATATTTATTTTAAAAAAATTGTTTTTGTCAGAGATAGTGTATAGTATTATTTCTATTTGACGTCATTTCACATTATCCCATTATAAAAAAAAAAAAGAGCACAGGAATGACGTCAAGTGACGTAAAAATGTACACTGGTCTAACTAAACCAAAACACATTGAATAAAGTAAATATACTGTATTTCCTAGATTAAAAAAATAGCTATTTAAATTCAGTTATATTAATTCAAACGAGTATTAGTGATCCATTTGTTTTAAAATAGGCTATATATATCTTGTATGCCTCACAATACGAATGTCACGTGTCGTAAACTCGTTCAGTGAATGGTTTCAATGAACGAGTTTGAATTACCACGTCTCATCCGTTAGCATTAAATTGATGTAAATGTCAATCGTGATCGTTCTCATAATCTAATTAATGATTTATATATTTAAAATCAGTTAACTATTTAACAACACTATTAATAAAACTATATCTTGTAACTCTCATTATATGATTCCTAAGAAGTCCTTCTTCCCTGTCTATTATCGGGTTTGGGCAAGCCACAATGGTGACGAAATCAATGGCGACCAAAATCTCAAGCTCAAATTAACACTCGGGGGCTCGGGGCTCAAGTCCTGTTAGTCCTTATATACAGTAGATCCGTCCCTGGTTTTAATAAAAAGTAAAAACTCGATTATCCGAAGCAGAAAATGTTTTGAGTCTCCTTTAATTAAAAAAATAAGCCCAATTTTAGACACAGAAAAATTACTACCTCTGAAAGACTACCCGTGGCTCCTCAAAGGCAGCTTTTATGTTGCCTATGGACATTGGCAAATCAAGTATCATTCAGGTTTGTTTATACGAAGCAATATATAAAATTACATGCAGTATATAAGAGAATAGCAGATTATATATATATATATAATACATATTTAATGCGATTGTATTATCCAGTGAATGGATGTGACGTTGCTCTTTTATGGTGTAACTAAACTGAGTTTAAAATCAACAAATAATTGGTATTAAATACAAAACATTTTTCTTTCTTTCTTTCTTTTCTCTAAGGGTATTGGCGATCGTTTTAATAGGTCTAAACGGACTGCGTGGAATATTTTAAATAACGTTGTTAATTCTCTCTTAGTGTTAAATGAAAATGAAAAAAATAATCTCTCGGCCATCACAGAGCAGGACGATGTAAGAATAATGGAAATTTTTATACCCAATATGGTTTTCCCGGAATTAGAGGCTCTATTAATGAAAAGCATATGGCTATTAAGACATCAACTGAAGAAGCAGCAGCTTATTTCAATAGAAATAAGTATTACTCTATCATATAAGTTTAGTTTATAATGAAAAAATGGTATTCAAATGATACAATTTCTCGAGAAGTCATGTAGTTCGAGAAGTCGAACTTACGTAGTTTTGGATTATTATTAATGCTGTTCATTTCTTTACGATTTATTTAATGCTCTGAACATAACATTTCTGAAGATTCCAAACGCGTGCAAAGTAAACTTCACTTTTAATCATTAATTTTTTTCACATTTGTTTATGAAAAAAAGTCATCTAAAGCTATTGAACCTTACAATAAAAATAGATCATTGTAAACATTTTATACAACAAATAACAAATCCATTTTCATTACTTTGTACAGAAAGTACAGTAATTTTGGAAGCAGCCATATTGAATTAGCTCAAAGCTCGACATCGAACTAGCTAGCACTCCGAGCTTAACAATTTCGCTAAACATGACGTTATATAGCTCTAAAGTAAACGCACCCACAGAGACCAAACTCTCCACGTAATTGGAAATCGCTACGTCATATGTCGATGGTAGCGCCGCGAAGTTAGGTCATATACGTAACATTACGTTAGATGTTGTGTAAATTAATTTATCTACGTATACAGCAATGGCATTACAGTATTTACCGTTGATCAAACTTTAAATACACCAAAAACACAAAAACAAACGAGTTTCTGCATTATTCGAAAGTTTCATATCTCTTCAAGTTCGGATAATCGAGTTTCCATTATATGAATTACTGTATTTAAAAAGACGAGAATAATATATACTGAGAAAAAAACAAGTATCTCGTTTAGGTATGCCATAATATATTACAAACGATTAATAGAATCACCGCATAGCTTTTAACTTAATATTATAGACTGTATGGAGATGGCCGGATAGCCGTGCGGTTAAAAATGAAGAATGTAAAACAGATTCAACTATAGAATGACTAATTATAAAATAATCACCTATTGTCGAGTCTAAAATTGATCCATCTTATTGATTTTATTTAGAAAAAAACAAAACAGAAATTGTTACAAAATGAAAATACAGTGAAACCCGCTAATGTGACCACCTGTGTAAGATGACCACTTTGACCTAATCCCTTCAGTGGTCACATTAACAGGTTTCACTGCAATTGTATATCAGATTATCAAGATGAATAGTCAATTTTTGCATTTCGTAGTATAACGAAACATAGTTACAGTGAAACGCGAACACCCTATAACGAAACTGTTAAAGAGGTGCCCGTCCAAATGGGGTTTTATACTGATGTATTTTAACCAATACTATAAAACTGGGTCCATCAGTGGCCGAATAATACTACTGAATACTGGTGATTAGTCGCGGGTTCATGCCTAACTAACGAGCTGGTCACGTGGAGTTTTCCTAATTTTCTTACGTGTCTAGCAACTAAATAGGAGCTAGTTTCCAATAGAAAGTCCTCGCGGGCGACACCCTCATTGCAGATGACCTATATGTTGATCTGTTAATAGAGTGAGTTCAGTTCCCATAAAATAAAGATTAAATATTTGCAAACCAAAATTGTACCTAGAGCTTCTCTTTTCGTCTGACTTTATCGCTTTTCTACTCAAGATGAAAGGCTGCTTGCATAAGCTATAGCTCTAAGTTGATTATTTGGGTGTTCTAGTTTATAGTTTACAATGAGATACATCTACAATCAATATTGCAGAATAAAGAAGATTGTAGCTTTTTTTTTTTAAACTCATTTCGCCCTGTGGGCATTAAGAGGGCCTCTTTTAGCAATCCCGTTATGGGTTCGGCCAGGCCCACAATGGGGCGATTGGGTGGTGAGGGACGGAGATCGACATATCCATTCGGACCATCCCCCGAAGAATTTCTGGGGATTTTTTGACCCGTCAGAATTCGATCTCGGGTTCCCCAGAGCGGAAGGCTGCTATCTTAACCACTCGGCCATCTGGTCTACGGCCGAGCGGTTAACGTGGCAGTTTATCATTCTGAGGGGCCCGAAATAGAATCCGGACGGTGGAAAAACTCCAGGAAATTTTTGAAAGTGTTCTGTCCGAATATGTTTGACTTTCCTCCTGTGAGTCTGACCTAATCTATAATGAGCTGGGCCGGATGGCCGAGCGGTCAAGGTGGCAGCCTACCGCTTCGACTGAAATAATTAAATCCTAAATATGCGGCCGGATGGCCGAGCGGTCAAGGTGGCAGCCTACCGCTCCGGGGGACCCGGAATCGAATCCTGACGGGTCGAAAAAAAACACCAGGAATTTTTCGGGGGTGGTCACGCCGGTTATGTCGGGTCCCGTCCCTCAACACTCGGCAGCCCCATTGTGGGCCTGGCCGAATCCATAATGGGATCGCTAAAAGAGGTCCTCTTAGTGCTCACAGGGTGGAAAGATTGGCGGCCGGATGGCCGAGCGGTCAAGGTGCCAGCCTACAGCTCTGCGGGATCCGGGTTCGAATCCGAACGAGATTTAAAAAAAAATTATTCTTAATATAATAAAAATAAGATTTTAAATTTTATCTAAATATTTAAAATAATATAAAATAAATAAATATGAAAAATATATTTTAAAATATTACAAGAAAATCGATTAAATATTCGTAAATTCCTAATAGAAATAATTATAGCTGGCAACACTTCCGGTTTCCAACTTAAAACCGGAAGAACTGGCAACGTGAATTTGTTTACGAAGCAACAGGAGCTATTTCTTTACTGTAAGTTTGAAGTTTTAAAATAGTTTTTTTTTTTATAATCAAAGTTTCACATTTATTAAGTTGAATACGATTTGCCTAACGAATAGACAAGTAGTTTAAAATGACGTTAAGTCAATGATAAACACTTGGTTATTTTTATATCAGACTATTTTGGCAAGTAAATAAGCAGGGAACAAAAATGTGGTAGAAGTTACTTTTAGGTAGATTCTTGTAAATATGCTATAAATAAATAACCTAAAAGTTACTTTACCATAAACATTGTAGTTCTGAATAAGTGGTTTGGATCCTCCTCAAATTTTAGACCCCCCTGGTACCTAAATGGTAAAATTTTAGGGACAAGACTTGTTTAGTGGATTCCTCATTGACTTTGCATTGAAACATATGGTGCTACATGCCGTCCCCAGGAATTTTTCAGGGGGGTGGTCTGTCTGGATATGTCTGGCACCATCCGTCAGTACCTGGTTGCCCCGCTGCAGGCCTGGCCGAACCCACAAAGGGCTTGCTAAAAGAGGCCCTCTTAGTGCCCACAGGGCAGAAAGAGGGAAAGAGTTAAAAAAAAAAAAAAAAAAGACACAAGAGTTTGATGGATGTTGGTAAGCAATGACGACAGTGGCTTCTCGGTAAGTAATTAATACTGCTAAGACTCGAAATGCAATCGAAGAAAGACGGAGATGTCAGGTTTGCAAGCCAAATGGCATCACTGTCCGGGCTCCTCGTCCGGAGCCGTGTTCGGTATCGCAGAATTCTTGCTGAGTCTGGTGGTGCTGCCATGCTGAACTCGTTTCTAACCACTTCTCGACTCCTTCGCTGCTAGAATTTTAGCTAGTTTGGTTGGCTTGTTTTGTCTATGCTAACTTCTACTAATGACATCATTGTTTCTGTCTGGTCGTATGATTTGCAAGATGGACTAAATATATATTTTTTATAATGGTCATGAAGTTGTTAAATTATAATGATTACATCTTTTGCCATTTATTGTATGATCAATTTAATTTGCTAATTTGGCATGCCATTTGAGGATACTTGAAACACTTCTTAGCTTTGCCCTCCTAGTCAATTAAATTTCTTAGCATTCTGCATTACTGAACAGTCCTGGAGTCTGGGTCATATTCAGTAATGCTGAAAGACTGCAGGGTGCTGACACGATGCAAAATGAATGTGGGATCCAGCCAACCAGTCCAGTCCTGTATTTTAAGATAGGAATGTACAGAGATTATCATCAAGATAAGTAAATTCTGTTTTAAAATGTCATTTTTATGATAAATTAGGCATCTGTACATATTTTTAACATTAATATTAATTTAAAATAATCAAAACATTGATTAAAATTGTTTCAAATGTTTGTTTTGGATAATTTTAATTATATAATCTTTGGAGAGGGGGAACTATTTGATTACTATTTTCTGCTTTATAACAAATCAAGTCTAGTATTTAAACTTGTTAATTAACATGTACATTTGATAATATTGTCAGTTATTTAATATATTTATATCAAAAATCTTTTTTATTGAATTTTATTGTTTAAATCTTATCATAAGTTTTAGAGATCTGTAGTTATGATGATGATGGTGTTTTAGTGTTTCAGCTCAACGTCTTGGGACATATCCTGAATATATCAACTAATGGTGTTTTATGAGGATGTTTTAAAACCTATTTTTTGCATTCTTCACCAACATTGTTTGGTGAAGAATGCAAATGGTTGGCAATTTAAAATTTTTTTAGAGTGATCCCTGAGAAGTAAAGGCAGGGGCAATATTCTGGTCATCGTCTCTCACAATCCAATTGGTGATTGGCTAATCATTTGTTTACATCACGAGAGATCGTTGCGTCTATCCAAATACGATTCTGGACAACTTTTTCTCTTGATGATGCTCTCATTTGTCAGAGACGAGCGGATAGTTGTCTTTTGCCTCAATTTAATTATATCCAATATGGACGACTGAATGCTACTTGCGCTGTACAATTGTATTAGAGAACGTTCTCTATCTTGGGAAAGAATATTTCAAGAGAGAAATGCTTCTGATTTTTTTCCAGTACTTACTCGGAAACGTCACTAATTCCATTTTTTTTTTTTTTAATTATCCTACTCAATTACTGAACTATTGAATATGGTGTTAATCTTATTTAGATAGTTAAGAAGAAATTAGATGGTAATATTTCGAAAAATATCTAAGTACTCATGCTTTTCTAACTTAGGTTATTAAAATTTTTATTTGTTAAGAGACAAATTGACATTGTAATCTGTAAAAAACGTTATAAAACAAAAAACATACATTTGTCAAAATTACATGCTTTATTTGGACATGTGCTTTCCTTGCCACGTGATCTATGATTACGTACTCTGCATTTTCGAAAATTTTACAATTTTATTGGTTAAAATTGTATATCGTGTTGCACGCCCAGATAACCCAAACGTGTATAATCAACCTAGTAGTATCATGATGTCATCAACAAAGACGAGATCGTTAAAGGCAATCAGAATTGCCACTGTTTCTGAGAGCCGAATTTCGTCTCTCATTTTGACATCATTCATCATTGAAAGAAGAGACGAGAGATAAGTGACCATAATATGGCCCCTGCATTGTGTCTGTTACTATTAGAACCAATGTCAGTTAAGGTGGTATAAAAGGTTGAAACCTTGGATAGCTCCTTAATTAGCAATGATCTGTGGCACTAGCCTAGGCAAGATTAGGTGAGCCAATATACTAACATCATTTACTACTTCACTGTTATCTTATTTATGTTTTTAATCAGAAACTTTTCTGTGTTGAATGGATGATTACAAAAAAATAAGATAAATCAACCAAAATTGAAAAAAATTAATGAATTAACTCTTACCAGTTGAAAGGAAATATGGGTATCACTTGAAATTACTAGTCTCGTAACATTTTAAAAGTGCTGTACTCATAATTTTCGTTAAAATTCAAGACTATCGAAACACAAGGAAACGGATCTTAAAGAATTGAAATTGATTCAGCTGCAGTGACAAGAAAAATGCTCAAAGATCCCAGTTGTCTACCGAACTTTGCAAAAGTCGCACGGAGTCTGAGAAACCCCCCCATGTGATCTCTCATAATTATTTTTTTCGTCAACAAAATTCTGAAAAATTGATACTTTCCTAAGTTTGCATCCTCATTTTTCATTAGTTCTTAAATTTGATCTTAAGTTAATCCTTTGAGATATTTTATAGCAAAGTGAAATTTGGTGTGTTTGCTTTTTGACTTTTTTTTTTAATCAAAGTACAAAAATTAAAAGTAAGATATGCATTTTTATCAATCCACATGTGTTTTATATTGTTAAAAACAGTAGAAATTACAGGGGGAAAAGTGATAGTTTTCAATGAGATACTCATAAATTCAGTTTCAGAGTAAAAAAATGAGATTTGAGAAACTCTATCCAAGCTAAGTAAAGCAGTCAACCCAAAGCAACTCCAAACTTAATTAAAGCTGTCTTGTCTTAATACGGTGCTGGCACTAGAGAAACCTGTAAATGTGTACAACAATGCATATCTATTATTTAGTACTGGTACAAATATCTGGCAAACTTTGTACTGGAAGTGGTGTGGATTTCTGGATTTTCCATTTTTCTGGACACAGGCTAAATATATACTTAAAATACGTAATAAACAATGGAAAGTAAAAAATGAAATTGTGTTTTAACACACCGTATGCCAGTGGAACTGGAGTCATGCAACTAATATACTATGAAAACCAAAACAAAGTTGCTGCAAGGCAAACTACTACTGTACCGCAACATGTCAAAATCAAACCTAGCTGGTTTCCCAGTAATTCTAGATTTCTGGATGTTGGATCGTTTGGTCATTACCATAACATATATAATAAATCTATTTTATATCAATGTAATCATAAATTTTATTTACTCTTAGCTATTCCATTTGATGGAATATAAACATTATGACATATATTTTGTAAGATATGCAAAATTTTTCATCAATTTTTACTTATTTATATCGAAAACTTGTGGCACACCTTTGAACTTTTTATGGCACACAGGTTGAAAATTGCTGTTTTATTGGAATATTAAGCCAAATTTTGTAATTTAATTAATAATTGGCTTAAATCTATTAATAACCCATAAATAAAAACAGTTTGTTCGGTTATTAAAAGTTGGACTGTGGTTGTTTGTTAAAATAAATTATCAAATATAAAGTAGTTAAGAAGTCTTCAAACCATGGATTGACAATGTCAGGTTGGACTACATTTTCAAATGAGACAATTCACAAACTCGAACACAATAAATAGGACTTATACTGATTTAACTTTAGGTTGCTAATTTCATCTGCAAGTTAATATAGGTCCTATTAATAGATTATAGTTGCAGCAGACTAATATTAATAAAATAATAATTAAAGGACTAGAAGCATTAATTAATTAATTGAACACAGTAAAGTTTATTAAGCACTTAACACTGAAGACAAGGTACATAAATGTCCATAGAATTCAAATCTCAGATCATCGCTTTCAGTTCTTAAGGAATGCTCCCTTAACTCCAAGAGAAGAGGAGTGTCAGGATGGGTCTTGCTAAGAACAAAAGAGAATACTGTTTTCTACACTTGATAACTCAGGTTTCTAACCCCGAATCACAATTTTCAAAGTTCCATTCTACTTCGAGAACCTTACTCTCCAAACTAAAATTCTTTAATCAAGCATGCCTCTGTTCTTCATTCAAGCCATGTTTTTCAAAAACATTCCAAAAGCATAATCTTGAGAATGATATGGTTCAAGCTGTCTCACCATTATTAGCTTCTCTGCCGTACTACTAAACAACTCCACTTGAACTCCTTCAGTTTGTATCGTGCTTTCCTAGTGGGTAAATAAATGTGGAAGTTATTTAGCCTGGAACTGGCAACTTTATAAAGTTGTAACTGTCCCCATCACTGAGTGGACTTGCAAACTAGTTGATGTTTGACTTCAACTTACGACACTGAGTTGAGTCAGTTGTGACTCACCAAATGTCGTTAGACGACAACTCACATAGCAGACTACAGCCCCAGATATGGAAAACTTAGGGGCAGGAGGCTCTGATTAACTGTATACGAACTTCTGATGCAAACTGGAAGTCATGTTATTTCAATTCAAAAATTTTTCCATAAGGAGTTAGAAAGATGAATGACTCTGTTGCTAATAGGAAAAGTATTGTGTACAGTGGCTACTACACAATACACTACAATACATAATACACTACAAATTTGAGATGAAGAACATATATTTTAAATTGAATAAATTAAGAATATGATTAAAAATTGTGACCCGGCATTGTGACAATGTCACAATAAATAATCTCTAAAAAAATCATTGTAAAGAATTTCTGCAAAATAATTAGTTGCAATGCCGATCATAAGATAAAAATTATAATTTTTTAAATTTTAAAATAATCCGAAAAGTCACGGGAAGAAATTTAAAGTTAGGTCCTTCTACAATACGGGCAAGCAAATCGTAATTGGAGCTTTTCTCACTTTTAGAGGAGCTGAAATATATAAAAGCTGTGAATCCTGAATATGCGTGTGGACCAGATAATTTTGGAAAGTAATAATGTCATTTAGTGACGAAAATGGGAATAAGGAGAACTGAATCCCATAACAGAAAACAGTATATTTATCTCGTCTTCTCTAGAATTGAATACAGCAATATGGTTGTTGAATAATTGATGTTCAGATATCCATTAAAATATCAATAACAAGTGTTTAATCTTAGATATTTCTATATAACTTGAGGCATTTAGATGCAAGATCCAAAATATTTAAGTTGAAACATCTCAAAAATAAAAAGTTTTTTGAACTTGGTTTCCTTAACAAGCACTTTGAGTATTGTTGGTACTGGTGAGTGCCCATACTTATGAGTGCCCAATTTATGGAAAATTTGACCATGTGTGTAAAATTTAAATTTTTTGCAGATTCTGAAGTTCTCTTGCTGCTTGTGAGGTGTTTTAATCAGTCTTTGGCCAATAATAAATAATTAATTTGGGCTTATTTCTATTGCATATTGTCATTTTTCATTTTAGCACATTTTCTGAAGTTCCATTGTCGCTCCTGACGTTGCGTTGAAGTCAGTAATATTGACATAATGACATTTTTTTGCTATTGTTTGCAATTTTTATAAACTTTTACTATTAGTGTTTTAAAAATGCATCCGAAATGCAATGGTAAATCTAGCAGCGGAGATAAATTTAAGAAGTGCCACTCTGTTATCACGGAAAATAAACTGGACGTTATAAAACTAAATGTGTTAGGTGAAAAGAAACTGCATTTGAAATACCCACTAAGCAGTAGCGAGTGGATGAACAAGCGTAATGTATTCTATTAAGTACATTTAAGGATCAAACACTAACAATAACTGGTTATTCTATGTACAGATGTACAGTACTTTCTAGACATTTCAACATCAAGACCTTAGAACCTAACCTGTTCGTAAATACGAGAGCACCTATAATTATCAATCCAAGTTTTGTGAAATGGCGTGATTTATTTATAATATTTTTATTACGGCTATTACTATAATTTATATTACATATTAAAGCATGAAGGCTTTCTGTTAAGTAAAATTAAAAAAAGTTTTTTAACTAAATAATTAATGTGTTTTTAATAAAATATAGCATTTTAATATATTGTTACATTAATATTTTTTATTTATTAATTGGATAATATTTGAAATTTTTACAGGACATACATAATTATAAATTTACGATACTAAAATGCCTAAGAAGAAGACAGGCCAGAGGAAAAAGGCCGAGAAGCAGAGACAAAGACAAAAAGAGATTCGTTCGGTACATGGTCAAAAGTCTCTTGCCGAATATCCGTGTAATGCTGTAATGGTGAGCTAATAATTTGTTTATTGTGAAGTAATTTTTAAATGCTTATCCTCTCTTATGAACACAGCATAGAACATTTTGTCAAATACAAATTTTATATGGTTACACAAAAGATTTTAAATGAATGTGCAAACTGATTATTTGAATACCCAATTACGACTCATTTATTTAATGAACGTTCGAATAAATTTGGGAATAAGACAAACAACATAGCCTTAAGAAGTCAAAACACTTAAATATTTCTGTAACTTTATTAAGCTTCTTAAAAATTATTTATTTATAAGTCGCGTAAAAAAAGAGGTAGTCTGAGTTCTGTTCTGGGACCGTCGTCATAAGTTGAACATAAAAAAATAATGGTAGTAATGGAATACGGTTCCCAAATTTATGTAATTCCTCTTGCATGTGTTCTGTATATTGTAATCAGATGATGCATTTGTATGCTCACTAGCCATAATAATTGATTTATTTGTACAAAGATTGTATTTTATTTAATAATTAATTATGGTTTTTTAACACAGACATACACAGGAAGGCAATTATGTTTAAAGACATTCAAATTATACTGAGAAGGCATTACAATCGTGTGCAATCAGGCAGATCTAGGTTTTTCGGGGCTTAGTGCTTATTGAAGTCCAGTGGTACCCCATTTTTCGTTAATATAGATAATACTATAAATTATCATTATTAATATTAACTATTTTTTACTATACAATAAGTGATAATTGTTAATGAAAAAGTATTAAAAATTTATGGTAATAATTTAATTTTTGTGGGCCTTTGACAATTGGGGACCAGGACTTAAGCCCTATTAGTCCCTATGTAGATTTGCCCCTGTGTGCAATTGATTTTATTCTTATTGTTAAGTCTTATATACTTTATTATTAAAACAATAATTCCAGAGTGAGCATCTCTGCTGAAAGTTTTTGTTTAGTTTATTGGGCACTGATATCATCAACTTGAATTATAGTTAATGATGAATTAATGTATTAGTTAATGTTATATACAACATGTTTACAGCCCATAGTTTAAAATTTTGTATTCATTCTTATTAAATATTCAGTCTTAAAGAAGTAAATTTTAATTTTTTTAATCCTGATTTCTAAAGCTTTAATCCTTCTAATATTAATAGTTTATTAAATGTTCTAACAATGACTTCTTCTCCTTTTCAAATCTCTATAGTATATTTTTTATAAGGAACGTGTTAAATTAATATATTTCTGTGAAATTTTATAGTCTTACAATATCAATGGCAGGTTACAATTAATACAATCAACAGTTGAATGTATAGTTTATGTGTTTGGAAGTTTCATCTCTACTTAGAATGGATAAGATGCAAGGTGCTGGAGGAATGCAAATATTGGGTCAAGCATTCAGAATTTTAATTTTTTATATGTGTAACATATTTATTTTATTATTTTACAGTATCATTAAGCATTATTATTCTTCACATTTAAAACTCATGTAAACATGATGTCATTACCTGTTTAGCAAGAAAAAAGTCTCTAGATTTAACTAATTATTAGGCAGTTAGGTCGTCATCTTGTATCTTATCATAACCCAATAATATGTCAGATCATTTGGCATTATATTAAAAGAAAAACTTTTTGCTTACTTTTTTTTACTACAGTAGAGTCCCGAAAATTTGGCACTCGATAACCTGGCAGTCCGGATAACTCGGCCACACCTTGGCAGGCCGAAAAAACCCCTAGTTAATTTTCATTATAGACAGCGTTATGCCTCGAAGTATTTTTCTGAGGTTTGTCTTATCAGGTAAATTACTGTACACTGTGTATTCATTAATTTTCATTTTCATGTAGTAAAGGCTTTATGCCTTCATAAAGTACAGTACATACTTTTGTTTAAGGTTATTTGAGCAGTTTATTCTCTGTTGTATTCTCAAGCAAACAATGCGTACAAGTACAGTACATACTTTTTCTTTGTTTAAGGGTATTTGGGCAGTTTATTCTCTGTTGTATTCTCAAGCAAACAATACATACAAGTACAGTACATTTTCTTTGTTTAAGGGTATTTGGGCAGTTTAATCTCTGTTGTATTCTCAAGCAAACAATACATACAAGTACAGTACAGTATTTTGAGGAAACACTCATACTTATTCTTTTTTAACCCCATTCCTGATAACCCGGCATTTTCACAAACTCGGCCACCCTTCGGTCCACATTAGGCCAAGTTTTCAGGACTCTACTGTATTACAAAACATGCATTTTCATATTTTTCCTATCTCTATCTCTCTTGCTATCTTACAAAATATATATCTTGTATTATTTATTGATCACTTCTTTAAATAATGCAAAAAGTTTTGTTTACTAAATTATTAAGAATAATAGAGTGATAAGTATATATTTTCTATATTTTTTATTGTGGAATAATGAACATTTTAAAATGTAAAATATTTTATTTTCTACTGTAATAAATTATTGATGATTTATTCAATTTAAAGTTTAATATTGATAAATTTAAAAATATTTTTCTGTATTAAGTGAAAATTTGTTTTATTTAGGATTGTGACAAGTGTAACAAGTAAGTATACTTTATACTATAAAATTTTAAACATAATTTGTATTACAAGCTTAATGATTAGTTGTATAAATATAAAAATAGTTAATTATCCATCTTGTACATACAGTAAAACTTATCTAACCCAAATGTTTAACACTCTTTAACATGAAGAAAACAAAGCATTTGGCAGATCTCAATTGAACAGCATAGGGATTTAATGTCTTCAACTTGAATTTCTTAACTTGAATTTTCTCCAAGTCAAAAATTTTCCTGTTTCTCCGACACCGATTTATGCTACTTTCAACTTCCCCGACACAAATTTTAATATTTGTTCCATCCAAAGTGATCCTAATTATCGGATTTCCGTGAAATTTTCAGACAGTTAGTTGTATCTTCTGTCCAACACCCATTTGCAGAAAGCATTCCAGTCTAAAGCGAGAGGACCTCTTGCCTTATTTCAATAAGACGTACTGCAAAATTGTTTGATATTTCATTAGTTACATTGAATATTTTGCTGAAGTGCATTAATATTCAAGAAAAAAACTATTAAAAAACTATCCAAGACACTTTATATAATGCAAGAGAGGTAAAAAATACAAATCTGTTCAGAATCGGCATTTTTTACTCTGTCATTCTCTAATTCGAATCATCTGTAACTCAAGTTTTTTACTGCCCCTCGGAGCTTTGAGTTAGAGAAGTTTTACCGTATTTTAATTTGGTATTAATTATAGAAATTGTTATTGCATGGTAAAAATATTCTGCATTTAAGAAAGTATAGTCTTTTATTTTTGAAAATTATTATTATTTATGAGATAAAAAACTCCATAGAAAGAACAAAATAAATTTGATAGTTTCTAAATTTTACATCAATATTACATTACATTATAAGGAAAACTTATTGGATTATTTTTGTATCTGAATACTTTTAGAAGAGAAAATTCATTTAGGGTTTTGTTATTTAAAAATTTGTTTAGATTTTTACATAAAATCTTAATTTTGCTATGAATAAATATTTTTGAGATGTTATAAACATAATTTGTCGACGTATTTGTTTATTATTTTTAAAATACGAGGGGTGTGAAAATTTGCTGTGCAGTGGAAAAGATTTAAATAAAATTTTAATAAAAGGGGAGTTATACATAAAATATTGCAGTTTTTCCTGTATAAAATTCTGGAAATATCTTCCGGAGGTCCCAAAACTCAGGGAAGTGAGGTCTGGAGACCTAGTCGGTCGGATTATGCAATAAGAAGAGGAGTCTTCCAAAACCTACAGTCTAAAAACCAGCATGCGTAATGCCGTCTACCACAAAGTGGAAACGTGGGACATACAACTTGCTGGTTTCGTATTCAATGCTGTACGTATAAATTTCTCACTGCATAGTAACTTTTTGGACACCCTGTAGTTATCTGAATGTAGAATATATGAAATTTGTATAAGTATAATATCCGATGCAGACTTTGTTTGATTATTTTAACTATTTGAATATTTATTTAATTTCAGAAGGCAGAAAAATAGAGCTTTTTGTTATTTTTGTTCGTCTGTGCAAAGAATACCGATGTGCGCTCAGTGCGGTTAGTAAATTGCTTATACATTTTCAGTGGTTTCTAAGATGCGTGTAATCTAAAATAAGAATATATTGATATAGATACAATAATATGTATCTAAATTCTTATTAATTTAATTATAAATTATTTTTTCTAAATTAGGTAAAACTAAATGTATGCTGAAAACTGGAGATTGCGTTGTGAAACATCCGGCAATGTTTGTTACAGGATTAGCAATGGTTGTAAGTGACACATATTTTATATTATATAATAAATAATTAAAATAATAATTATTGCATATTGTTTTTGAGTTTATATAATCTGATTAATTATGTAGTTTGCATTAGCCAGATGCAATATAGTCTCGGCATAGTGTATAGCAAGTTTCATTCAAATCTGGTCTATAAATTCCATAATTCATCATGGATAGTAGGGGTCGGATCGTCGTTCTTTATCTCTCATTTATGTTAAGACGATGACTGCGTTTTTACTTGTTAATACAAAAATTTTAGCATAAGCGAGAAATGGCGAATTTTACAAATATAAATAAACCTCTATAAGCCTAATAATTACATTAAAGCCAAATAAATATTCTAAATTAATGAGCAGTTATTTATTGTGAGATTATCACAATGCCAGGTGCAATTTTTTAAATCTTGATGGACAATTCTCTTGATTTTGGTAGCATCTTGTCCCTGTGCATCATACCTTTCCTGTTAAGAAGAGAGTCATGTTGATCATCTATCTGACTCCATTCCAGAGAAAATTTTTGAATTGAAATAACGTGACTTCCAGTTTAGCCTGTATGTTTATATATTGTTATTTGGGGCCTCTTATCTCTAAGCTTTCCATATCTGGTCTTGACTTTCATCTATCTAACACCATTCTCAAATTAAGGAAGGATAGACAGATGGACATATATGTGCTAATGGGAATTTATAGGTCTACAATTTTTTAAAATTGCAGTCCAATTATTTAAATGTATATATTTGGCAAAGTAGCTCTTCCATTCTTCTAGAAGCCTATAAACAAAGTATAGAAGAGATTTTGCTTTGCATAAATGAAGGAAAATCTCTGCTGATACGCAGAGTGATCATCAAGTTCCCTTATTTTTATATCAAATTTTATAAATTTTCATATTTATTGTTTTAACTCTTGTGTTCTAATTTTTTTTTAATAAATAAATTCCAGAATATCTTTTATTTATTAAATTGAAATATATTAATTGTTATGCATTTATAAATGTTTTTAGGGTGCAATATGTGACTTTTGTGAAGCTTGGGTTTGCCATGGACAAAAGTGTTTGACTAGTCACGCTTGTACATGTGTTTTACAAGACGCTGTTTGTGTTGAATGCCAAAGAGGTGTTTGGGATCATGGTAATAAAATTTTAAAAATTTAAGTGATATTATTATATTAATTGAATCTGAGAATTTTAATATTTCTTATAATTAATTTGAACAATTTTTATAAATAAATTACTCATTGTTAATACATACATTCGTACATACATATGTACATACATTCATGAAAGACATTGGCTGTACACAATGTGTTTAGCCAGTGGAAAAGAGGGTAAGGGAAAGGGGAGGGGAAGGAGGGAGGAGAAAGACAGTAGAGAAAGGTAGAATTCCTCTGAATGGTGTACGTATGGCTACTGTACCTTCTATGTTTGATGTTGGCATACAGTTTTTAAGCTGCAAGGCCGTAGTCGCTTGAAGGGTCTAAAAGGAAACCTGAGTGTAGCGAACACCAATAATTGAGTTCCATCACGAATAGCTAAGTGTAGAAGTTAGTGCCGAGTGACTGTTAGTAGGAAAACTTATATCTACTTAATACTAATAAAACTGAATGCAGTCATGAATCTTAATACTATTAACAGCTAGACAGTGTGAAAACAAATGGACACGATGACAAACTAGAGAAGACGAATGGACCAACAGAAAACAAACGAGCAAGATCTCAATTTTTTATTTATTTATTATTATTATTTTTTAAACATTAATTTACTCACTAACTAAACTAACCTACCATAACTTAGGATGAACCTAACCAGATGACTACAGCTAACAACCCTAATCTAATTTAACCTAACCTATCTTAACTGAAAACCAAGCTGAGAGTCCCTAATCTAACTTACAACTAGGACTAACTTAAACTAACCGAATTTATACTGAAAGGAAGACGGAAAGTAAGAATTAAAATACAAAGTTGAAAGGCAGCTTCTGTAGTTTACTCCGATTTAGACCGTGAGCTTCACAGTGCTTGCTTCTGTCTAGGTACACACTGCTCAGTAGCACAGGCAGAAGCTCTAGTTATTTATAGGAGTTTAATTTACATTAGGTGTAGGAAGACAAAAGACACTACTTACACTGTTGCATTTATTCTGACAGTAGGGTAGCTTTACACGGGATTGCAAAGTCTAATAGCTGCTTAAAACTCATCCATCTCATATACTACATCCTCAGACACTTAGACAACAACCTTAGAATAGATTTTCAGTGGGTCACGGATCATGCAGGGATTCTTGGTAATGAGATCGCTGACCGTCTTGCCAAACAAGCTGCAAACTCTTCAGTCACTAGTCATTTACATTCCTACCTCGTACACCAACAATCAAATCTTCATTCTCTGGCAAGATATCTGTGACTGGTAGGCTCATTGTTAATACAACTCCTCCTCACTTAACATCATTGAAGAAAGATACAAGTATATTTCTGATCATTTACAATTATCACTGTTGAACTTTCTTTCTAAACAGTAAAATTTATTCTATGAGGTGGTAAATAAATGCTGGAAATTACAAGCAAGATTCAATTAGAATAATAATAACCAAATTATATTTTGTTTATATTTATCTGAAGTCAAAATTGATTTTGCTATACGTTCTTTTGCTTAAAATTGCAGTTTCCAAGAACCTGTTGATGACATTAAGTGAAGATTTGTTATATTTATTTTCTAAAATTATAATTATTTGCAAAACAATTACGATTCATACATGCAATAATAATTGTTTCTGTTAATGTGCTAATGCATACATCTCAAATATAAGACTAATTTAAATAGAAATAATAAACAATTTATATGTTTATAGGTGGAAGAGTGTTTACTTGTTCTTTTTGTGGAAATTATTTGTGTGAAGATGATCAGTTTGAACATCAAGCAAGTTGTCAATTTTTAGAATCCGAAACTCTAAAATGTTAGTAGAAAGCTATTTGTAAAGTTTCTTTAAATTTGATATTTATGGTATAGGTTAATTACTATGTATGAATATTTAAAAAATTTTATATGGGATGATATTAATTACTTTTATGTGGAATTAATTGAGTATTGGACAAATTTAATTTTTAGGTCAGTCTTGCAACAGACTTGGTCAATATTCCTGTTTGAGGTGCAAGGTAAGTAAAATATTACTGTAATTTGTTTATATAAACAATTCAATGTAACCCTGATTTATGAATACACTTTTTCCTCGTAAATCAAAAGTCTTGTAGATAGAGACAAGCTTTTCCATTATTTCATACTGTTGAAACTTTTAACATAACCCAGTCACTCTATCCCTGTTATCCAGATAACAGGGATATTTTGTAGAATTTTAAAGTTAGAACCATTATTTGATACATAAATAAGTGTAAAATAAAGTAAATGAAAGTGTTGATTAGGTTATTCATCAATATAAAAAGAACTGATATGAAATGAGAGAAGTAAACATGACATAAGAGCTAATTGTAGTATATTCATACATGCTACAATTAGATGGCTTGTAGATTCTAGTCTCAATTTTATTCGTTTCATTTACTTTATACATAAGATTATTCCTATGAAGACGTAAGGTGAATGAAGCAAAGAAAATGAAACTGGAATGTACAGCCATCTTATTGTAGTGTGTGGAAATTTCAATCTCATTGAACATGTGATTAGAATATTTTGTTCATTTAAATATCTGTTGGAACTTGTTGCATCAAATATTTCATCTCCTAAATTGAGAAGAGAGATAAAAGAAAAAGCTCACTATTATTTATCTTAGATACAATAGAAAAAGTCATATTAACACTTTACATCTTCTCTCACATAACAGTAAAACCCATAACAAATACACAAAAGAAGCATTAGAGATAGAATAAAAACTATAAAACTATTCCATGACAAAATTAAAAAGGTCAAAAGTTATAAATAGTATGTTTACAAATATTTTTGAATCAAGTACTGTCTTCATCTGTATTTCACAAAATAATTAACATTTTGTGAAATACAGTAGAAGTAAGATCCTTGCGACATAGATAAAGTATAAAATGGTGTAAAAATACTTGATAAATTGAACAAGTTTCACTGCGATGTTCTTAACAATAGCCAATCAGATTGTACGTAACCATATTAAATTCTTGTTTAATGAGTACTTGTAAATGAAAAATGACCATCTGGAACAGTAGTCAAATGAATACAATGACATCTTTAAGTTTCAACACACAAAAATTTAATAAAAACAAACATTTTTGATCTTAATCAAAAAGATAAGCATAAAACAGAGTACCTGCATTTAAAAATTTAAATGCAGATTAAATGAACTAATCCAATATTTATAAAAATAAAAAGAACAGAACAATAAAGATAGAACATGAGTGTAAAAATGGATGTGAACTCCATGTCTAAGTCTGAAAAATATATTTTGACACTCCATAATCATCCATTCGGACATTTTACATTCATATTTTAGCTTTATTTTTTATTATTATTATTTATATATATTATATTAGTTTATTTAACACTTGTTTTGTTGTTGTAATTATGAGTTTATGTGAACATAATGTGAATTTTTAAATGTTGTTTGAATTATTCTTTTATTTTGGAATACTGTTTTAGGTTTGATTTTATTAAATTCTCTTGTGTTGTCAACTTAAAGGTGTCAGCATATTTGTTTTGCTTTTAAATCAAGGTCACACTTTATATTATTAACACTTTTCAAATATTTTGAATAAATATTTGAAAAATTACATATGAAAGCCAGATTACCAAGGCAGTTAAGACATTTGCCTACAAATCTGGGAGTTGGTCAGATATATAATACTTTTCATCATTCAATCTATTATATTTTGGATTTAAATTTAATAGCAATTATCATAATAATCTAAGTTCTTACTAAATGAACAGTAAGAAGTGTGTTGTTAGCTTAAATGGAGAATAAAAATGTCAACAATTGTTTATTTAATTTCTTTTAGCATCATAATTAACATTATCATTTATAAATAAAAAATAATCCTCTTATTATAATCACTTTGGAATGCGCCTAAGGTGGTAACAACTAAACAATAACATTAAGCGGGATAAATAAATAAGACTATAATTAGTGGAAAATCTGATTTTATTGACTCTTACATTAAAAGAACATGTTAAAATAATTAAAAAATGTATAACTTAAAGATTTATTAATTATAATTATTAATTAATAGTAATTTGTCCAGCATACAATGAAACAGCAAATGCCAGCAAATTAAACTATGTACTGCAAACAGATAACTAATACTTTAAGTGTTATGTGTTAATAATTAACAGTGATTATGTTTTATCAGTCTTATCATCAGCCAAATGTTGAGGCTGATGGCATGAAAAGACAATTCTAAAAAGCAAATTTACCTGAAGATAATGATCTCTAACCAAATTCCAATTATAATCAGAGTTTTTATAATGTATTTTATGTTTTGGGACAAGCTAATTTTGATAACAGTAGACAACTGATAACAATATCTGATTTATGTATATGTCTTTTTAATCCAGAAAATTCCGGTAGACTGTCTTACAGCTTCAAGGTCAGGAACATTATTTATTGAAATATCAGATTACATATGCATTTCGGGCCTATTTTGTTTCTAGGCCCCTCTTCAGTGCTATATTACAATAAATTGAGAAACTATTAGTAAAACAACAAAAAAAATATAACTCGCGCTGGTCTTATCCTATAACAAATAATTGTATCGTACCCCAAAAGGAGTGACATAAGGTAAATTTACATAAATCTTTCCTTCCGTACATCTATATGGTATTTTTTACGTTATATTCTTGGTAAACCTCCGTTAACAAATACACAATATAAATTTGGTGTAACCGAATAAAAAAAAAATTTATTTATATAAACAAAACTAAAAAATATAAAAGAAGTTACCGTTTTTTATATTATCCATCAAAGCATTTCAAGTGGGTATATACCTTGTTCTCATTAAAACACAAAAAGTTTTTGTTTAAAACATTCCAACATCCTCATTATACACACATTAGTGGAATAATCCACAGTACCAATTTTGATAATCCAATTGTTTCAAAATAAACCATACTATAGTTTAAAAACCACCATACTGTACATTCTAGCCTATTCACTATTACGGAGAATTTTTTTCTGTGGTTCCCTCTATTAGGTTATACCATCGGGGATCAATTTGCATACCATTCAAAATGTGTATCAGATTTTTTTCCGAATACTTTACGATTTCAATATGTCCTACGTTTATATGTATTTTTTTCCAAATGGAGAATTTCTATATTATTTCTGTTAATCTGGCAGTTACTATCTTTTATATGAGTAAACTGTGGGGAATTATTATATTTCAACCTTATATCAGCCTCATGTTTCTTAATTTGTAACTCTAAAATTCAGCCTGTTTTACCCATATAATCTTTAGGAGTTTGACAATCACAATTAATCTTATATACTACACCCATTTTTTTAAGTTTGTTCATAATAATAATATAATTTTTTCCTGTGGGATTATAAACATTATGTGAAATCTTGTTGGTCAAAGATGTTTACCAAGTGTATAATGCAAAAAATATCATATAGGTGTACGGAAGGAAAGATTTATGTAAATATACCTTATGTCACTCCTTGTGGGGTACGAAACAATTATTTGTTATAGGACAAGACCAGCGCAAGTTGTATTTTTTTATTGTGTTACTAATAGTTTCTCAATTTATTGTAATACAGAACTGAAGAGGGGTCTAGAAACAAAATAGGCCCAAAATGCATATGTAATCTGATATTTCAATAAATAATGTTCCTGACCTTGAAGCTGTGAGACAGTCTACTGGAATTTTCTGGATTAGAGACATATTCATAAGAACGAATAGACAGCTACCAAATTATAGAAAAAAAAAATATCTGTGACTACAATTAGCAGCTTCTACTGCAGTCCATTTTAAATATAAGTTAGTGATTTTGGAGTAATAATCTACCCGATTTATTTCTAATCAATATGCTATATTGTACTGTAATTATAGGAGTAATTATTAATTATTTAGTTATGAAACTAAGTTTGAATTTTATTATGAGTAGCATAGCTGAGAATTTAATTTTGTTGTTGTTTTTATCATATAGACTTGCTACTGTGAAGATCATGTACGCCGCAAAGGATTTAAATATGAAAGAAATCAACCTATACCTTGTCCAAAATGCGGATATGACACAAAACAAACAAAAGATCTCAGTATGTCAAGTGAGTATATTAAAGATTATACAAAATATTATAATTTGCATCTAGATTAACTGAGAAATTATTAGATGTTTTAACTGAAAATAATAATAATATGAATTTTAATAGTTTTCTTTATTAAAATTAGACAATTTCTTTGATTCCAAAATAATAAAAAACAGTAATTATTTATAATTATATAAAATAATTTTCAAGAAACTTCAAACACAATAAATTATTCTGCATTAGTAGAGTATTTCTTATTCACAAGATTTAAAAATCTTAGCACTTTCAGCATTACTAGCTCTTTAAATAAAATAACATTCTACTATTTAAAAATTTTATAAACAGAAAAAAAATAAGGTATCATCCTACTTCTCTAGTGTACCGGGATTGAACCTGGACACGTTGCAAAAACCCCAGGAATTTTTCACGAGTGACCCGACAGGATATGACTGGCCCTCACCAACTTGTTTTCCCTACTGTGGCCTGGCCAAAGCCTATAATGGGTTTGATAAATTCATTCTGCCCACAAGGCAGAATGAATTTAAAAAAGAAAACTATTAAACCATAAACTTCTTCAGCATTCATTTTATTACTAAAGAAAATTGGAATTTAAAAAGTTTTTAAGTTTATAGAATTAACAGTGGAATGTTATTTTAACTCTTTCATGATGGTTATTTTCCAATTATATCTTCTCCTAGGTCAGCAATTATTTGATTTTGTGTTAGAGTTGAAACAAGTTTCGTAATTGATTCTGAATCGTGTTTTTAGGAACTGTTCAAGTTATATTTGAATGATTAAGTATATTGATATGTTTAAAATTCTTTTACAATATTAAAATGATACCAAAAAATAATTGAATAATAGAAATTATTAAAAAGTACAGCTGTCCCTTGATAGTCCGACATTTTGTAATCCTACATGTTCAGTAGTCCGACGCACCTCCCGTCAAGGTACCTGTCCCCGTTAAGTGTCTGCTTGCACAGAAGCATGTTGCGACGTGAATCTCCCCACCCAATTCTTACACAATGACACACATTTCAAGTGTTTTCCATGAGCAGTTCTGTTCGAACAGTTGGAGTAGGGAATATTGTAGGCTACTGCTAGCAAAACAATGCCAAATATGTAATCACTTTTGGTAATCCGACACCCCTTTGGTCCCATACCTGTTGGATTATCGGGACAGCTATAATTAAAATTTTATTGAAAAAGTAAAGAATTTTAAAGTGAAAAAATAAAAATTATGAAAGAAAGGATGCTGAAATAACAATTAAAACTATTAATAAATATTGGTTTAAAAAAAAACAAATACATAAATAACACAAAACAAAGGAATCAATAAACTTTATAAAAAACTCAGTCCATCTATAACTAGAATTTAAACTGAACTGGTACTAAGGTAACTGGACTGATCTGGCATGATATTGATCTTTAATTAAATTAGGTTTCTTAGGATGTGTTGGGACTTCCTGTCTGTGCCATCGACTCAGAACATTTGGAGACAATCTATAAAGAGTTAAAGAATATAAGCTCTTTAAAATATAGTCTGTTAATACTCAATTCCAACTTCAACAATGAAGTCAAGTATTTGATATATAGTGAGGCTGTGGAGTCTGTAGACCACGCCTGACTCCAACTCCTGCCTCTAAATATAATCAAAGTAAATATACTTTGATTATATTTAGAGCCAGGAGTAACCCAGAATGGTATTTCATTACTACCAAATGAATCATCAGATTATTTTTTAAACGTTTTTTAAGATTTTTTTAAACTTCAGGCATTCCTATAAAAACTGAAAAGTACTTATCTTTTTTCAGAGTTTTTTATTATCGCCACTATCATCTTTATCTTCAACCACACATTGATACACAAAATGTTCTCCATCTGTGGTTATAGCAAATAAAATTTAATCTGATTTGTCTTACCCATTTTCTATGGATCTTCTGACAATGAAAATTTAGAATTAGATAACACAGAATGTATTCAAATATAAATTTCAAAAAATAAAATTAACAGTAATTAGTGATAAGCAAAGAAAGATCATGAAATAGGGAAATCATCTATTTATAGATACAGAATACACTAAGGCATACTCCAGCTTGTTTAGGTACTTGCATTTAAATTACATTTACATTTTAAACATCATTTTGAAGCTTATTCAATGTAGATGAGACTATTGCATCAATTTTACTGTTTAATTTCATTTAAAGTAATAATAACTGAAAGTGTGTTCAGTTTTGCTCTTGCTATAGTGGCATTCCTGCCTGTCATTCCAGTTATTGAACTTCCTCCATCAAGTATAAAAAACATTCCTTAGAATAACTTCTCAAATTGATATTTTTTTTATTCATTTCCAATTTTTTATAATTTTGTTATTATAGTAATACCCCGAACTTATGCGATAGGTGGGACCGAGCGATAACTGCGTAAGTCGAATTCGCGTAAGTCGGGATATAATTTCGCAATTTGTGTAAAATCCAAGTTGGATGTATGTAAGCTAATAAATGTTCTCGTTAATCTTATCTCGTCTTTTGATTCGTTCACGGTTACAAGAAATCACCACATAGTCTCTCAAGTCTTCGTAGATATAACAAATACAGAAATAAATAACACAAGATAAATTGTAGCTATGTGTCGATTTTGCGCGACACATCTGAACATGTAAGCTGAACAATAGTGTGGGGGGAATGAATAATCAAGAGTTGCGTGGCGCTCAAACAAAAGACGAATCGACACGATTTTCAAATCGTGTAACTCCGGGTTCGCATAAGTTGAGGTATTACTGTAATGGAAAGACCATTGTAAATTAAATTTTGGTCATGAGGACTGTTATTTTTTTTTGAATAAAATGGCACTAAAGTGAAGAAGAATTCTTAAGGGTAGACAAAAAATAAACAAAAACTATGTTTAGTTAAATGTCATTGACTTACTTATTCATTTCCGCATGCAAATTAACTGTGAAGCAATTTACATGGTTATTCGAACTTTTTGAAAGAAACAAATGCCATTTAATGAGGGGACATGCAGACACATTTCTTAATATTAATCTTTATTAGAATTAATCGGGGAAAGAATTGAATCTATGTATGTATATATCTGAGAAGTTTTATATCTTATATTAATAAATATTATGTAAATAAATTTATTTGCTTTTTTATTTTCTCTATTTGTAATCAGTTATTTACAGAAAATATTTTGCCAAATACAATTAGTCATAAAATAAGATCTTGCATTATGGGAGGTTCCTACAATGCAAGATAAGAGTTTAATGTTCCTATTAGGAGCTGAATATAAAATACATATAAAAAAACAGGAGTTGGAGTTGGTTCATTTTTAACAATGCTGACTCCTTTAGCAACAAATTTGCTTCCGACTCCAACTCCATAGCCCTGATATATAGCACTAAAATATATTGGTTAATGTTACCTTAGGTTCCAAGATGGCAATGCTTCCAGTAATCTCGAAACAGAGGCATGCACGTTAATGATGATAGAGGGAGCTCTTTCGTAATAATGTGATGTAATGTGAAAGTTTAATCGACGGGATGTATAATGTTGTTACGAACGAATATGCAAATTCGTAAGCTTTACGTTGTATGTGTAGTTTACCGTTGAATTTGACTAAAAGTTGGAGCCTTATTTTAAATGCCTTCAAAAAGATTACGTTCGTTACAATACAGCATTGAAACAAAAACATTTTTTTTTATTCAAAAAAGAGCACGAAATACAATGGACTCATGCTAATTCAGCCTCTCAATTATCCAGCATACCATTATTGGTTAATTTATGCATATTCAGCTATAAATTGATATGATGTCTTAAAATTCGTTCTTGGGATTGAATGACACGATGGCGTCAGTCTTGCTCTGAGTGACTCTGGATCAAATCCAGGCAAGCAATTCTAGGAATTTTTTGATAGTAATCTGTCCTGGATTTGTTGGGCTCCATCTCCCTCCGTCTGGTCACCTTCACGAACCTAGCCAAACTTGACATAAGCATGATTAGAAGAAATGACATGTAAATTTTAAATGATTCAAACATAATTAGATTTAATGAATTAGATCCATTTTTACAGATTTACTTAATCTTTATTTGAATTCTTATTTAGCATTATTAACATATAAGTAATTATAACAAAAAAAAAACATTTTTTTAGAGATTATTTATAAACAGAATATGTTATTGTATAATAATTAATAATAATAATAATAATAATTTTTTTTTAGTTCGCAAACATGATTATGGCAGACAAGGTACCCAAGATTATGACGACGACGATAGAGAAGGTTATTATGATTATGAAGCATGTGGTGATTATACAGGTTTGTTGCTATTTAAGTGTGTATTATTAAGCTGAAAGCATTCTAATTTTTAGAATTGATACAGAAGTTACAATTATATTCTCTCTTTCTCAATTTAATTTAATTCAAGTTTAATTTAATTTAATTAAACTTGAAATCAGATCTCTCAGAATATCAGTCATGTATCTTAACTGTCATTTGGCTATAATTTTAGAGATTTGTAGTCATATCAGAAAATTTTTCTTAAAATTCTGGAAATTTCTATTTTGTGAGATAAATTTTATATAATTTAGTTTTCCATGTAAATTTCTAATTACCACTTAGGTTTGATGGTAATACGTGGTCTTCCAAAATGAATTCCACCATTTTAAATTACCGTAATTATATTAATTATTATCTGAGAACGTTATAATGTACAGTACATTAAAACATTGAAAGTCCAAGTGTTACATATACCCCTTACAATTTCTGAATGTGTTCACCTCATCTTACATGGCATGTGTGCAACCAATACTCAAATTCATCCTATAGTTGCTATGGCATATCTGTTGTCACTCTCCCACAGCAACAACAAGTCTACAGCTCTTGCAGATTATCCATGTTGCACAATGATGAGTGATTCTTACTTTGAGACTGCAGAACAAAATTCCTTCTCTATTGTGAAGTCACCATTTTTGTTTATGGCATTTCCTAGAAGTAGTAGACAATAAGATGTTTGATTACAGATGGGAGATGAAACTCGGAAAGTTAATCTATTAATTGGTGCACATCTCTTATTTCTTGTTTAATAATTGACATAATTACAGTAATTTAAAATGGTGGCATTCTTTTTTGAAGACCCTGTGTAATTAAATAAATGTCACCAACAGATTTTAATGCTTTGAATTAGAAATTTTTATAATACATTTTCTTGTGATTAATTGAAATATTTATTCTCCTGTGAACTTATTCTTAATCGATGAAAGATTGACTACAAGCTGTTCAGTGAGTGTCAGGCACTCAATTCCAAAGCCTTGTTGAATTAACGGGTTTGCTGGGGCAGTTGAGATTATTTAATAACAACTCAACAGTACATCCCAATCACTAGTTATATACCTCACTTGTCTCTAAAGCACTATGGATTACTAGGAACTTAAATTAAGCATATATTAAATGTGGAATGATGTTTACATTTGATACCATTGACACTAGCACATTATTTTAGATACTACAGCTTACAATGGTGGCTTAGACCACTGAAAACTTTGTTCTCCATACAAACTAACAAATATTTGCTGGAGTTTGGATATGTGATATACAGTATATTTATAATTTCAACAATAATAACCGTTATAAAAATCGAGTACTTAAAACTCAATATTTACAACAAAAAAATTAATTATTAGTATAATTTACAAAATTACAATTACAGTCGACTCCTCCTATGACACTGTTGATTTTTCCGTTTTATATGAATTCCATGTTGTACGAGTCACTTAGATTTTACAAATACGTGTGCCGGGCTATGAACGGATTACGTATTTGTAAAATCTAAGTGACTCGTACAACATGGAATTCATATAAAACGGAAAAATCAACAGTGTTATAGGGGGTCAACTGTATTCAAAATCTCAAACAATTAACCAATAAGGAAAAAGGACATAACAGAAGAAAAATCCTTAAGCAGCACTAAATCAATCAATTGGCAGCTATATGCTAACTAAGAGAAGTGATGCAATTCCATTCGCTATTCAAATGTCAAAGTTTGAAATTATGCGAATGAAGTTGTAGTTTTGAAATATTGAGATAGCAGTTGAGATTTAACATAATTCAACCCTAAAATTCAAAATAATTGAAACAAAAGGAAAAAATAAATAACGTAATTAACTAAATATAACCCTAAATAAAAACTCTCCTTTCCTTTGCTACATCACGAAGCCAACAACTGCAGTAGAGACAATTTGAGTATATGTGAGTTACATGCAATGCCATCTGTGACCATTTTATGAATGAGTCTCACTGTTATGGAAATTTTTATTGCCCTCCCACAACCCTCCATACTAATAAATCACAAAAATAAGCTAAAAGTAAATACCAAGGGTTAAAACAAAAGTGTAAATCACGAGAAGTTTGCCACAAGCAATAGTGCAACGAGCACGGCCGACTCATGATGTTACCAATTGCTAGCTCATAGCATCATCAATTTCCTTTCACTACTACTCACAAGTTTGCTTGATCACCCAGTACATTTTAATGTATAAATTACATGAAAAAGCGAACCTTCTAAGAGTTGATACTAGAAGCAGTTGCATCTAGCTTTTTCTAGAAAAATAAACGTAACTGCTTCTAGTATCCACCCTTACAAGATTCGTTTGCTAATGCAATTTATAGATTATAATGTACTTATTTTTGTAATTCATATTCTTTTTTAACATTAATCTAATGTAAGAGCGATGGTAGCATCTCGGAGACATTTCGTTTTTTTCACTTCTACAATACTCTAGAATCAATTCCTGACAATGAGCATTGGAGCTTGAAAGCACTAGAACGTTCAATTTGCATTAAATTTTCTGTTAATCTTTATTAATTTAAGTTTTTTTTTCCTTTTTTATCATCTCCTATTAAAAGCAATCTGTAATTTTCTTAATTTTATTATATATAAAATATTTATTTGTTATTAAAAAACTAAAGTAAGTTTTCAAAATATTAATGTTTTACCTGTATGATTCAATAAAATCATTAATTTTCCATTTGTTGTTTTTTATTCATAGATAATTATGAATATGGAAATGATGACGAAGATGAAGAAGAGGAGGAGGAGGAGGAGGAAGAAGAGGACGAAGAGGAAGATAATGAAAATGAGGAAGCAGCAAATGAAAAAGCTACATAAGACTCATACAAAGTAAAAAAAAAAAAAAAAAAGATTTTATTGACGAATAATTAAAAAAAAAAAGTAAATTATTTAAATTTTCAAAATCAAAAGTTGATGTAGAGATTTTAAAATTTTTGGATATGTTTTAATAGAGTTATTGTTGAGCAGGATACTCAGAGATTCCTGGAATGCATTTATTTATTTTAATGCAAAGGAGAGAAAGGATCGATGTGTAAATTTATTTGCTTAGGTAGGCCATTTTAAAACTCATTTCTTGTTTCTAAGCAAATGTTCAATCTATAAGATGTTTGTAGTAAAAACAAAAAAAGATTTCTTTCGAGAATAAATCTATACTGTTTACTGTAAAACAAATCATATGTCATGTAAAACAATTATTCAAGTTCCGAGACATTGTCCTAAGGCCATTTGTGATGCTTTAAATTTTCCTTTTCCTCAAGTACACAAATTCTTTGTTTATTTATCTTTTTTTTGTAAACTTTAAAGCTTTGCTTTTATCTTCATTTTGGTCTTAACTTGTCTAATTGCCAGATTTGTCGGGCTACTGCTATGATTAACTGATTATAATTTGGCCGAAAGGTAGGTTGTTGGTCGCTATGTGGTGTCAGTATTAATAATTAGAAATTATTTAAATTTAATCTGTACTTTGATAAGTCTGACAATTAGATATTTGATTTGATATTAACAAATTGGATGTTGTCCTGTTGTAATTTATTAAATGTAAGGAAACTGAATGCTGTATCTTTATCATCCCATAGAAGATCAACACCTCTAACAAAACATGAAGTGAAAACGTCATTTGTTTAACTTGTAATTTGAGTACAGAAGTACCACTGCATTGTTTTTATGATTATAACTTAAAGTTGTATCTCTGTATTCAAATTTAATTCATTTCAGAAGGCCGTTTGGGTAGAGTAACCTGTTCCAGACCCCGAAAATATATTTACAGAAGCATTTTAACTAGAGTTTACCACAAATTAAACGACTTCCTGACCAGACCGGAAGTTCGTATATAGGTTATTTGGGCCTCCTGGCCCTAAACTTTCCATATATGATCTCGATTTTCATTTATCAATCTCCATTCTGGAGATTAAGGAAGAACGGACAGACAATAGAATAGATGTAACAAATGCAAATCTACTCACTTTATCCGAGACTTTAGAGAGTTGATGGCACCCTCCTCAACATCTGTGGAAGGTGTTGAGGAGGGTGAACCCCAGAAAAAAAAGGGAATTCTGTGCCTGTGCAGGTTTTAGTCTATTTCATTCATTATCTCAGGATGGAGTAATGATTAAGAAGCAAAATTTGGCATGTTAGCTCTGAGTATAAGGGGCATTGATGCTGTTAAATTTTGGTGGTTAAAGGTGAAGGGATAGAGAGATAGAGGGCCATCACGTGTCGTATCTTGAGAGGGGTTGGACTTAATGAAGATTTTACTCGTTATAAGCATTTACATTTTTTTCTTATTTCTATAAAACTCATCATTGCCCTCAAAATGAAGCTGTGCCATTTTATAATTTTTTATATTATTAACAAAATGTCATAACAGGTGGTGCTCCCATACACAATGAAATTTTATTTAAAAACAACAGCTGGGAAAGATATGCAATTTGTCACTGCAATTTTTAATTAAATTATCGTAAGGATCTATACCAAATTTATTGTTCTGTACAGTAAGGGGAAGAAATTTTAAATTGAAATTATGCGACTTCCGGTCCACACCGGGAGTTTGTATATAGTTAATCTGGCCACCCATCCTCTAAGCTTTCTATATCTGTTCTTGAGATTAATGAAGGGTAAGACAAACGACAATGGGAATTTATAGGTACAGCCCAATAACTACAAAACAATACAATAAGATGGTACAGGGTGTACATAAATGATACATGATTCCAAAAAATAAATGATTCCATAAATTCCATAAATGATTCCAAAAAAGTGTTACCTACAGTATGCTAAACATAGGACAGATACGAGCCCTCCCTTCAGATATCAACTCTAGTCCAGTTCATCCCACACTGCTATGTACTGTACCATCAATTGCTACAATGGTGGCGGCAATACGGGCTTGCAGATCTGCCAGATTTGTCGGCAGTGGTGGCACAAACATAGAATATTTCACAAACCCCACTGGTAAAAGTGGCGTGGATCATAGAGGCCAGAACAACAATTGTTAAGAAATCTCCAGACATTTCTGTGGATGATGTAACAATGACACGGGTTCACACCCTTATCATTTATACATCATCTATTGTCCTTTAACTGCATAAATTGAAGATTGACTATTTATATTATATTAACTTTTTTCTTTTACTCTTTTCACCCTGTGGGCACTAAGAGGGCCAGGCCCTATCTCATATTCATTGTGGGTTCATTCACTATTGTAGGCCTGAACTCCAGAATGTGAAGGACGGGACCCGATCTATCTGGATGCGTTTTTAAATATCAAGGTTAGAAACCTTTAATCTGTTACCATTCTCCATACTGTGGCACTATAGGGCCAAATTTACATTAAAACCTTGTAATTTTAGCAAGAATTAATTGAATATATAACATAATCTATATTTATATAAGTTAAGTGTCGTCCACTAATTTATACAGTTTAAAAGGGAGGGAGGGGGTTCGGAAAGTACATCATTATACACAATGGAGAAGGAAAGGTCGAGCTATCTCTACTTGGACTGTTTTTAATGGTATTAGTGGCATGTGAATTTTTTTATGAGCCTACTTACAGCCATGTGAATAAACTATTAGAAAATATTTGCAGTCATTTCTTCAATGGGAATTCATTTACATGCAATTAAAGGGTGGGTGTTTTCCAAAAATAAATCATTGTACACAACAGTGAGAGGGGTGTCAAAAGTGTACAATGGTAAATTAATTAATGGACAGTCCCTTGCCTGTTAAATAATATGATATTTTCATAGGAAAAATTTTGTCATGCTTCCATTTATATAACATACAATATAAAAATTACAATATAGTTAATATTATTAAAGTTATATGATAGGTAATACAAGAATCTATAAATAACTTAATTGAATGACTAGCTAGACATCATTGCAAAACTTCACTGAAATTTGCATATTGTTTACTCAGTTATAATTAATTAGTTCCTTATCTAACCCATATCTTTTAATTTATTTATTTCTTACTAATTACTGTGATGTTATTCTGATTACTGCATTGCCTCTGTTGTTATACGGTAAATAACTTAATAATTTTAATACCAAAATACATATATTTTCTTTTATAAAAAATATATTTTTAATATTACTAAATTAATTAATTTATTAAGATATTTAATTAGTAGTAAAAGTATATCATTACTTAACTTAAATAAGTTACAGCATTTCTATAAATAATAGTGACAAATGCATTTAAGTGGGATAGTCCAGTTTGGCCAGAAAATTAACTCGAAGTTTAAATTTTCAATGTTTTTTAAAGGGTAGATTACTCATTCTGGTGTAATTTTCTAAGTAAATTGCATGTGAAGTGGCTACACCAGTTTTATAGTTTTGTAAGGAAATAGGAACAACAGGACTCTGTAACCTTAATTTAATTGTGCAAAGTAATAAATATCATTCAATGGTTATGATAGAATGCAATTAATACTTAATGTTTGTTTCTTGTCCTTTAATTGGTTATTTGTAATAATAATAATAAACTCAGTCACTAAGGCTTTCTGGTAGGAATTATTACAAATAAACAATTAATACTTGATTTATTTAAAATATATTTGTTTGATGATCTAAAGTCATAAACTTTAAAAAGTTTATCTTTTTCCGAAAAGATGGTTCATTTCTTAAATAATTTTTCAGAAAAAAAATCGTCGTCGTAAAGAAATTTTGAAATTTTGGACGTCAAAAAATCCATTAATTATCGACCCGTGATGAAAATATTTATTCGTGGCGTCGACCACGACTTCAATTTTATATCTATTAATTAAATTATTAATCAAGTTTATAATTGTACAGTACATCCTATCTCACGATGACACGTGCTTAAACTTTTAATTTTAATTTGAAAATTTATAAGTTAATTTTTCAGTTTAGTGTTGTGTGGCAGAATATACGATAAGCACATTTATTTGTTTGTATGATTTCAAAATATTGATTTCTTCATAAATTAATGTTTTATTTTGTGTGCTACTGTGCAATAATTTTCGGGCGAATTTTTGGTTCTGAAAATATTCTGCATTTCTGAGTTTTACAACGAAATATTACACAAGTTTATATTTATTATATAAAATTATAATTATTATTGAGAATAAAAAAGATGTTCGATATCCTTCTATGAACTGATAAGTTGTTAGAAGGTTGTTGAATACCTAATTTATTTGAATTTTAAATAAGGCTAAAATTAATTAGAAAAAAATTCAAATTACAGCGTATATTTTTGTGATAATTTGAATACAGTTGGCTATAAACTTAAATTTATTTTTCAAATATTAACTACCTTTCTTTATATTTTAAAAATTTAGCTATAGTTTTTTTCTGTAAAACAAAAATCTCAACGAATTTTTAACATATGTTTTTTGAAATTAATAATATTATATATATGTATATATGTATAAGGCGATCATTTTATATTGTTAATTCTATTCATCCATTTCAGAGATAGAGAATGGTAAAGGAATTTGTTTAAAAGATAAAGAAAAAAGATTCTTGACACCTTAGCTAGAGGCCTCACGTAACTAGGAGGTAATTACTCCCATCTATATTTTTACGTGATGTGATTTATTAATAATTATTAAATAGGTTAATAAGAGTGTAAAGAGACTCACAATTTTTTCACTGTAATAAACATAATAAAAAAAAAAGATATTTGTTTGACATGTTATCAACATTGTATAATTTCAGGGTTTTTCAAGTTCCTTTCCGGATATTTGCCAAATGAAATAATGTTATGTTGTTAAAGCTATCTCCTACAAGATGAATGTTTTGATCATTAAGATGATAAAGAAATAAATTAATTTGATTAATTTAAGAAATACATGATGCCATATTTAATTTTTTCTTAAATATTTACGTAAATTTAAATTATTTAAAATAAATTTTAATATGTATTTAATTCCTTCAAAATTAGTTCATTTCATCACTTACAATATGCATTAAGAAGAAAAAAGCAAACTTTTTAATGTAATATATATACAATTTCTTTTTAAATATAATCATTCTTCCGATATCAGAATATAAGACAATAGTGTTTAGTTTTTTTAGTTCTAAATGCCTGAGGTTCAAAATAATTGGGACTTATTTTATTATAACGCTCAAAATGAGTTCCAAATATTTCAATTTGAACTTGATTCTTAGATCTTGAACTGAAAATTCGTGATTTGTATTCAATAATGAGAATTCTGATTAAGTTTTCGGATCAGCGAGGATATATTACACGACAATGAACTGTTTATTTTTTAAATATTAATGTATAATAAAAATGTTTAATATTTTTGTACCAAATTAATTTAAATTTATATACTGAAATTATTCTTATTTTATTGGTAATTTTATTTTTTCTATTACATATTTACGTACTACTTACTCCTAAATTCATCGAAGTTATATTAAACCCGTTTAACAAATATTAAATGGCCGTAAGATGAAACAAAAACAGAAAACCACAAGTTTATATATCATTTAATTTCTATTACACAGATATTAAGAAATCTTACAGTTCTTTATGAAAATATCCATTCCACAAGTATTTTTAACTAAAAAACAAACTTTATAAT